CTGATAAATCAGTTTGGTATCAACATTTTTTGCATTTAAAGTGTTAAACAGGATCAATTTTCAAATAGAATATTGTAGATATCGGACATTCTTGATCAGACAAAGCTTTAAAAGGTACTGCAGTAAATTGGATATGCCATTTCATAAAAGGAGAATCATTCGAAATTACATGTATTCATTTCCTTTATTATGTACTGACTATAATGTAAATTCCTGGAATTTAAGGTCTTATTTTTGTACCAACTAGAATATAAATTCCTGGAATTGAAGGTCTTATTATGTACCGACTAGAATATAAATTCCTGGAATTGAAGGTCTTATTATGTACCGACTAGAATATAAATTCCTGGAATTAAAGGTCTGTTATTATGTACCGACTATAATATAAATTCCTGGAATTGAAGGTCTTATTATGTACCGACTAGAATATAAATTCCTGGAATTGAAGGTGTTATTATGTACCGACTATAATATAAATTCCTGGAATTGAAGGTCTTATTATGTACCGACTATAATATAAATTCCTGGAATTGAAGGTCTTATTATGTACCGACTATAATATAAATTCCTGGAATTGAAGATCTTATTATGTACCGACTAGAATATAAATTCCTGAAATTGAAGGTCTTAATGTGTACCGACTAGAATATAAATTCCTGGAATTAAAGGTCTTATTATGTACTGACTAGAATATAAATTCCTGGAATTGAAGGTGTCTTATTATGTAACGACTAGAATACTAATTCCTGGAATTAAAGGTCTTATTATGTACTGACTAGAATATAAATTCCTGGAATTGAAGGTCTTATTATTTACCGACTAGAATATAAATTCCTGGAATTAAAGGTCTTATTATTTACCGACTAGAATACTAATTCCTGGAATTAAAGGTCTTATTATGTACTGACTAGGATATAAATTCCTGGAATTAAAGGTCTTATTATTTACCGACTACTAATTCCTGGAATTGAAAGTCTTATTATTTACCAACTAGAATATAAATTCCTGGAATTAAAGGTCTTATTATGTACTGACTAGAATATAAATTCCTGGAATTAAAGGTCTTATTATGTACCGACTAGAATATAAAATTTCTGGAATTAAAGGTCTTATTATGTACCGACTAGAATATAAATTCTTGTAATTGATGGTCTTTTTATGTACAGACTAGAATATAGATTCATGGAATTGAAGGTCTTATTATGTACAGACTAGAATATAAATTCTTGTAATTGATGGTCTTTTTATGTACAGACTAGAATATAGATTCATGGAATTGAAGGTCTTATTATGTACCAACTAGAATATAAATTCCTGAAACTGAATGTCTTATTATGTACAGACTAGAATATAAATTCCTGGAATTGAAGGTGTCTTATTATGTACCGCCCATAATATAAATTCCTGGAATTGAAGGTGTTATTGTATACCAACTAGAATATAGATTCATGGAATTGAAGGTTTTATTACGTAACGACTATAATTTAATCTGATAAATCAGTTTGGTATCAACATTTTTTGCATTTAAAGTGTTAAACAGGATCAATTTTCAAATAGAATATTGTAGATATCGGACATTCTTGACCAGACAAAGCTTTAAAAGGTACTGCTGTGAATTGTATATGCCATTTCATAAAAGGAGAATCATTCGAAATTACATGTATTCATTTCCTTTATTATGTACTGTATTCATTTCCTTTATTATGTACTGTATTCATTTCCTTTATTATGTACTGTATTCATTTCCTTTATTATGTACTGAGTAGAATATAAACTCCTGGAATTGAAGGTCTTGTTATGTAAACATCTACTTTTTTACTCTACAGAAGTTTGGTCCATCACCATCACCGAATTTTAATAATATATATTATTATGTACCGACTGATATATATTTTTATGTACCGACTAATATATATTATTATGTACCGACTAATATATATCATTATGTACCGACTACAGTCCTAAATAAACTCGAATTTAAATTTCGGAAAATTTAGTCAAAAGAAAATAGTTTTTATTACAAAAATTAATCAAATTTCAAATTTTTAACTTCTAAAAAATCTTTTCAATTGATTGAGTATAAACATTTTCCGTGCTTTTAAAATAGTTAAAATTGCTAGGACTGTGTTAATTTAATTTAATAAAATTATTACATTGGTAAACGTTTGTATTAATAAAATAGTGATCGAAAGTGTAAACAAAATTTTTCTTTGTTTATTATAACAATACAGTTTCATGATACGATTTCGATCATAGCTGTATGCAATTTTTCATATGAAATGTAATTCCCAAGAGAGAAACCACAATTGAAAATAATCTGTTTTCAAAATTATAAAACTTTATTCTAATTCAAACTTTTCCCAAGGGCGACTTCCCAAGTGACAATTTCCCACGCGGCAAATTACCAAAGGTAATGTTGTAAGTGTCGCAAGCTGTAATTGTGGCCGAGCGCTGTGGCTAGGATGGACTAGGGGGCCGAGCGCTGCGGCTAGAATAGACAAGTTGACCATTGTCATATTTGCATTAAAGGTCATTTGAAATTACGTTTACAGTCCATCTAATATATTTTAATTCAAAATCATAAAATAGTGATATTCTAAAACCAAACAAGGAATTTCTTTTTCAATTGACAGATTGTATTTCTGTATTAGCCTCAGCTAAATAAAAAGCTGAACTGTAAAGTTGTCTGCATAGTATTGATATAAACGCTTACCATTGTAAATATAATTCTTACCCTGATTTCCTGCATGAGTTCAGCTGCTGATTTGGGACAGTTAGATCCAAATATCTCAATAATATTAGTTGTATTCCTACAACAGAACCTTGACGAACTCCCTCTCCTATCTCCGACTGTAAACTCAGCTTGCTTCAACTCTTCTCCAGAGTCAGCTACAAGTATTGGACTGTCTTCTTATAGCAAATCAAAACTCAATGAGCAATAAATAGTTTCAGAGTAAAACCTGACTTGAAAATTCCTTTAAGGTGAGTTTGAAGCATAAATTGATATAAAAAATATATACTTATACAGAGATTGTAATTGTTAAACACTTGGTTTGCATGCTGTTTTATAAATAAGAAATATTAATATTTACTTTCTGAAGTAACAGAAAATAAAATTTACAATCAAGTTTTCAAAATCACATTGGGCATACGCATACAATCCCTTTAAGGTAGAAACATTAGACCTGTAAAATTTTAAAAGTTTCAAAACCAGTTTCTTTTGAAAAACTATAATATATTTCTGAATAAATAAAACATTCTTTAATTACATAATTTCAGTATGAAAATAGAAAAGTATTTAACTCGAAGATATGTATTGAAATGTACATTTTTCAATTAAAAAGTTTTATGAAAAGCATGAAAGGAAAAACATTCGTTAACATAAATTAGAGCAATGTTTCTCTTAGTCTTTTTATATAAAACTGTACTTTCAACTTTAGAATTCATGAAGTCCAACTTTTTGAATATTAAGAAGTTGAAAAACTTGTAATCAGCTTGCCTATTTATAAACCTTATGAGCCCGTGTAAAGTAAAAAACATAATTCTCACAAAAATGCTAATTATATTGGATTAAAATAAAGTTTTTTTTTACTGCTTTTCCTTATTCTTCAAGCGTTACTTAATATTTTGAATATTTTAAAATAATATGTTTTACTGTTGCCTTAATAATCTTTCTGCATATTTCTTATTATTTATCATTAATCTGCCTCTCTCTAAATATCTAACTCTAGGAGAAAATGAAATTTCAACTGGCTTGGGTTTTATATACCCAATTTGTATACAAAAACTACCCCTACCACCCTCCCTTCCTCATTTTTTTAATTATCTGCCATAAAATATTTTTTTTCTTCAAAAAATCAATTTTTATATAAAAACTAAATCTTTCTCGGTAAAACATTCACCCCCCCCCCTCTATTTTAGTTTGTGATAAGATTATTTAAAAAATGATAGTTTGATTTGTTCCTAAGTAAACATCTGAGCAGGGAAGGTTTAGTTTGAATTCCTCAGCTGAATCTTCACAAGGGAGACCATTCTACACATATATAATTTTGTCACAAGGAGATTATTTTGAGTCCCTCGTAGGGAGCTGTTGAAAGATGAAGACGACATTTAAAACATTCCATGAAAAACTAGTGAATACAGTGAAACCCATAAAACTGTAGAATAGGAAGACGAAATTTAAGCAATATATATTTAGGGAGAACATAAGCTTATTAAATGAAATTATTAGCGTACACTATTGATGTGTTTTAGGTTCATTGGACAATTTAAACCAATAATAGGTATCGTATTTTAAATGGGTCTCACTGTATATACATTACAATATGCGTGGATATCCTTTATTGAAGAACTTTATTAAACAGAGAATTTGTACAATCTTTTTTAAATCTTTAGATTTTGTATCTTCATGGAATTTTAAAATTCGAATAAACTAATACGATCATGAGTTATTCTTTAATTCTATAATTTTGTATTTCCTACGAAATATATTATATTGATGTATCTTTATAATTTAAATAAAATAATGATATGATATCTAATATTGAATATAAAGAAGGCTTAACTTTACGTTTTCGATCTTTTCCAAGCTTAATTGTTATATTTAATGCTTTGGTTCGTTTATTAAAAACTTTAAACAAAACGTTCAGCATTTTAAACTATTTTCTGTTAAAGTTTGCAAAAAAAAATTTCTTAAAAAAATTGAAAATAACGATTGTTTTCATGCGTGGCTTTTTGGCTCGTTTATTACATTATGCACATAATGTAAAAAACGCATAAAATAATGCATTAATGCATTATACAATCAGCTAAGTTTTGCTAATGGTTTACTTTTGAACAGCTCTCAATGTTTTATAAGTTTAAAAAATAAGAAAAATTCTAATATTTCATCTATAAAATATAACTTTTTCATTATTGAATAATATGAAAAAAATCGCTAAGGACATAATTAAACCTTAAAGCATTGATGCTTGAGACAGTTTCTCTCAAATATTTGACCATCAGGAGACAAATAGGTTTTTTCTTGACAACTGTTTTCTGGTAAAATACCTAAAGTAAAATACAATTAAAGGGACTGTTTTCTGGTAAAATACCTAAAATATATACGATTGTTATTTCAAATGATCTTTCAATTAAAATGCTCAATTCACGATTAAACCTTTAAAACCAAGATTTATCAATGCGATGTCATGCTTAAAAATTGATTAATTATTTCTTTTTATAAATGTACAAGTCATTTAATACAAAACCTCAATTTAAAATAATCCATTTTCAAGAACAAAAGAATGCTCTTACCATTGATCAGACAAAGGTTGTAAGGGTGCATCTGAGAATCGGACATGAATGGAGAAGTTTGAAAATTTAAATTACGTCTACAGTCCCTTTGATTAACGGTTAAAGTGAATGTTGAATTCCTCAAAAATAAAAACCTTTAAAACAAAGTGTTTCTAGAAAAGCACTTTCTTAACAAAATTAATTTAATTTTACCACATTTTTCAGCCCCTTAAACACTTTTTTTAATATCACATTTTTTTGTGGAACTAGCTATATTGGGTGAAATGTCATGATTAATAGGAATGAAGTGGTATAGAGCTTATTAAATTTAAAAAAAAGATTATTGATCTTTTCTAAACTTGATAAATTCGTGAATTAATTTTAACATTAGATAATTAAAAATAAAAAAACATTAAAGATACAATGGTAAGAAAATGCAATTGAGTGTTTGCCACAACCTCAAACTTTCTAATTCCAATATCTTAGCAATCTGATGATGGTGTGACCCTTTTATATTTATACATCCTGAACTAAAATAGTCAAAATTTGACATATCAAAGGTTTACACCATTAGGTTACAAAGATATAGGGATTAGAAAATTAGAGTTTGAGTCTTTAGTTTCTTTTCAATTTTCCATTTGATTTCCTCACCTAAATCTAAGTTTCGTATGTTCCTGCAGGGAATTAGTGTTTCTAGTAGTTCTGACGTCACTGGATCAGCGGATGTGTAAAAGGTTTGGTTTGGTTTAGAAATAAGCTGATCCCAGTCAACTTTGCGGATTGATAACGTGGGAAGACCAGAAAAACTGGAAAAAAAACTATTTGTAGGGAAAATGTAAAAGTAAAAGTTATTTAATTATCAATTCTTTTTGCTTTAGCTGCATATTTTTAAAATATAAAGACATGCAGGGCCAATTTTTTGGTATGCTAAAATGTTGTGGTTTTCGGGTTTGTTAAACATTTTGGGGGTGTACTGTATTCATTATACAGTGAGAACCAGAAAACTGTTAAATTGGAAGACGACTTTTTATTAATATTTTAGTTGTTACAACGTTAATAGTTTTCTATGAAGTAGCTTATAAATCACCGATTAAAAGCGTACGTCCAATTTATGTACCTCATGTTTATTAGAACTTGAGTCTAAAAGTTTGTACATTGAACTTTGGCACTTAAGGCAGGTCAAAATATTTTGTTTAATATGGTAATTGGTACTTGGAGATCAGACCAACATACAATTTACATACATGATCCTACTGTTGTGAATCGAGTACGGTACCTAGTAATGTAATATGGAGAGCTGACCCTCCATTGTGCCTCTGGAGTAGAATCTATATGGACAGCTACAATGTCGTCCTGGTATATTTTTAAAATATAATATAAACAATTTAGTTAATCCATCTTTAACTTTATAAGCTTGTTTGTTTTGTATGCAATTAACGTCAAATCGGCTGAACCGATTGGGCCCAAATTTACACATTCCCAGAACCTGCGATTTAAAAACTTCGGCTCGAGCCGTAATTCCTTAAACCCGACTTTAAGACACAATCTTCGACCCAATTCTGACGAAAGTTTGAGTCACGTGATTGACAGCTGCAAAATCTTCGGCTCGACTTAAGGAGTTATAGGCCCAAAGAAAATAAAACCGATCATGGTTGGTTTAAGTGGAGAAGAATATTAAACCGGTTTTTTAAACTCAAATCTGTGGAAAATAAGATACAGCCTGAATCCGAAAGCTTGAGCCGTAAATAAGGCCCAACGACAGCTTAGACCCCATGCCGTATTTTCCCGAATTTCTTAAATCGCGGGCTCAGGAAAGGTTTATGTGTAGTTAAAATGAAACTTTTTGCCCGAAAACGAATGTCGACATTCCTTATTTTTGAAAATTCGCAAATAAAAACAGAAAAATCCGCAAAATAAGATTTAAAAAAATAATTTCAGCTTGAAGAGCAACAGCTGGAATTGTTACTTGATTTAATAGTCTTAAGTTTGAAATGACAAAGGCTTTTTACCATGAGAAAAGGAATGTTAAAGAGTTTGTGGCGATTAATCAGTTCCTTTACCTCTAATCTACAGACCATCTTCTCATGTATAAAAAGCATATTTTCCGACAGTGCAGTACAGTTCCCAACCAGTCCCTGTAGAGTATAAGAGTTGTCTTTAATGTACAATACAGTACCCAGCCTGATTATTAACAATACATTGTGGGTACATATGTACAATGCAGTACCGTTTCCAATCCGTCACTGTACAGTACAATAAGTTGGCTTTACAGTACAGTACATTAAAGTAACCAGACCGTGTATTAACAATACATTTATGTAAATAATGCAGTGCAGTACAGTTTCCAATCCGTCACTGTATAGTTCAATAAGTTGTCTTTACAGTACAGTACATTAAAGTAACCAGACCGTGTATTAACAATACATTTATGTAAATAGTACAGTGCAGTACAGTTTTCAATCCGTCACTGTACAGTATGATAAGTTGTCTTCACAGTGCATTACAGTTATACCCAGCCTGTTTATTAACAAGACATTGTTGGTACATTTGTACAATGCAGTACAGTCTCCAATTCGTCAATGTAAAGTACAATCATCTGTACTTACAGTACAGTAGAGTACCTAGCCCGTTTATTAACAATGCATAATATGTACATAGCGGCACAGTACGGTACAGATTCCAATCCGTCAAAGTACAATCAGTTGTATTTACCGTACAGTACAGTACCTAGCCCGTTTATTAACAATACATTGTATGTACATAGCAGCACAGTATAGTACAGTTTCCAATCTGTCTCTCTGCAGGGCAATAATTTGTCTTTTCCATACAGTACAGTGTCATAGCCCGTTCATTAACACTTCATTGTATTTACGATGCAGTACAGTTCCAATACGTCAGCTGTAAAATACATTATATGTACATTGTACACGTGTGTGCATTGTTCATTAGTTTATTAACATCAAATGTTTACGAAATTGAGTTTGTGACAAAAACTCAGTTTTCTTAGATTTTTATATCGTCCACTTTAGGTGTTTCATAAACAGGTCACAAAATACAGGAAAATCTGAACTTTAAAGAAATTAAATAAATGAATTAAAAATAGACTAAAGGAGGGATCTTGCAGCAGTTGAGGTGAACAGGTTCATAAGAGAAATATTGAAGCTAGGAAAAAATGAAAAGTAAACATGCATCCATAGATATTTGAAATATTTTTTTTTGAATTGAAAAAGAAGGTCATTCTTGATTTGTATCACTAAATCATTATATTAAATAAAGGAATATATATCTTTATACATATACAAGGTTACCCACGAAGAATGAGACTGTAAAGACGACTTCACTCTTTAAATATGACTATCTAAATTTAACTTAAGTTTTCTGCATTTAATGTGGTCTTTAAATGGGTTAATCAGGAAACAGAAAGTATGAATTCCGAACAGTCGTTTCTGAAGTCTCATCCTTTGCGAGTAACCCTAAATACGTATAATGCCTTTTTCCTTAACACTTCCAGAATTTTAAAGTTTATCAACACAAAATGTTAACAAAATTGTTAAATGCATGGTAAACTAAGGAAAGGGGGGGGGGGTTATAGCAATCAACTTCGCCCCTCCCCTTTACCCTTAATACATACCTTCACAGTATAAAGTGGCATATTAACAGCTGATTTCACTCGAAGAGATTTTAATGTTCTAAGTCCAGTATTTTCCTAAAAGAAAATTAAAACTTTCACGTTTTAACAAAATTAATGGGAGAAAGATTTATCCTGGTTTAAATTAAGCTAAAATTAAATTAAAAATCTAAAAAATGTTTCCGAAACTTTTGCTTTTGACCGTTTGACGTCATCAGTCCTCACTATGAATCAAAATATGGCTGATGGATTAGATCACCCACATGTCCTGCTATTCAGTTGAAGTGTACTTAAAGGAGGAGGACAGGTTACTGATCAAGGATATAAACAGGGGCGTACTAGAGCATTTGTGTTAAGGAGGGTGGGGGGCTTACGCGCACAAAAAAAATGTTGTGCCCCCCCTTTAAACCCCTTTTTCGAAAAAATATTGATACCTTTTTTAACTATGTAAACTATTCGATCATATAGTACACATAGTACACACTTCCATATTACAAGTGTTAATAAATTATTTATTTTTCACAAAAAATTTCGCTGATTTTCAAAATTTTTAAAAATTTATTGAAGATCGAATTTTGATGGAGACAAATATTTAAAATTTCAATCATTCATAAACCTTCCCTGTGGTCACGTGATGTCCCACAAAAAATTTGGGCCCGATCGGCTCAGCCGTTTGACGTTTATTGGATACAAACAAACAGACAGACAAGCCAAATTTATAGATAGATTAGTTGTATTGTAGCTGAATCAAAGCTTGTTATTGAAAGCTGAAAAGCTAAAATAGAAAGCTGGCATTTTCTTGTTAATAGTCATTTTAAAAAAGGTTAACATTTATTTTGGAAATTTTTTTTATATTCATACACCTTTCCTGGGGTATTTGACTTGCGAAAAAAACGTTCAGCCTAATCGGTTCAGCCGTTTTGGCGTCTATTAGAGACAGACAGACAAGCCAATATATATATGAATGATAAACGCTCACCCCAATATAGTTTAAAATTTCTAATTTCTGACCTGTATGGTAAAAATAGTTGTCTCTTGAACAGGAACAAGTTTGAACAGAGTTAATCCTGAAGAAAATATGCTTAGGATTAAACTTTAATTTAAACCAAATTTAGGATTAAACCTTAATTTAAACAAAATTCAAGATCAAACTTTAATTTAAACAAAATTTTAGATTAAACTGTAATTCATACACAATTTAGTATCCGACTTTTATTTAAACAAAATTTAAGATTAAACTTAAATTTAAACAAAATTTAGGGTTAAGCTTTAATTAATACAAAATTTAGGATTAAACTTTAATTTAAACAAAATTTAGGATAAGACTATAATTTTAAAAATTTAGGATTAGACTTTAATTAAAAAAAATTTGGATTAAACTTTAATTTGAACAAAATTTAGGATTAAACTTTAATTTAGAAAAAAAAATTAGAATTAAACTTTAATTTAAATAAAATTTAGGATTAATCTTTAATTGAAACACAATTTAGTATCAGACTTTAATTTAGAAAAAAATTAGGATTAAACTTCAAATTACGCAAAATTTAGGATTAAACTTTTATTAAAATAAAATTTGTATTTGCAGTTGCTACTAATTTAGAGCTAAAGTTAGAAACCGTTTTATCTTGCGTTGTTGAGACAACTAAAATAAAGGGACCAAGCATTTTCATTTTCATTTAAAAGTGCTCTCATCGAATATCGAAATGAATCGTTTAAGATTTAGGAAACTCCATGCAAAAATTTCTATGTATATATGTTTACAGTGGTAAGCGATTTTATCAATACAATGAGGACGACTTTAGATTACAATTTTGATGTTTAAAAAGCTGTTAAACAGCATGGATACACAGAAACGAAGAAGTCAAGAAAAGCTATCAATTGAAACCATTAAAAAAGTTTCTCTTTTATTACTTGTAAACTTATAATTCGAAAAAAACTTGTTAACAATCAGAACTTCAATAAAAAGTCGTCTTTATTGTATTAATATAGTCTTGAAATTGTCTTTACAGTTCCATAGATTCCTATAATGCCAATCTTTACCTATAATAGTTGGAAGAATGATAATAATGGTTGCTAAAGTGCAGTACATAATATTGAAAGCAATGTGTTCTGGTCCTAGATGATCCTAAAAATTTATCAAAATGAACAAAAATTCCGAACTATTTTTAAAAACTCTTCAAAAATAAAATTTGTTTTTTATTTTTTATTACACGCCGTAGAAAAGTGACACTTTAATAGAAAACAAATATTGTAAAGTGGTTCAAGAATCAAATAATAGCTTTAAATACATTAACCCTTAAGAAATGTAAATTTTATATTACTACATAATACACATATATATATGTATATACGTATTTGTTTTCGATTTGAAAGTTCTAAGACAAATTTGTCTAATATTACTTTAAAGATAATCAACTTTTAACATTCATTATTCGGAAATAAATGTTTAAAAATTTAAAATTGTACACCCCACTCTGAATCAAAATGTTTATGCCAATGCTTATATAAATCTTTTTCGTACCCATCTTCTATTTCAATTGTGAACATTTTTTCTTTGCATAAATTTTTAAACAAAAACAAAAAAAGTTTGCGGATTTTCCGAAAAAACTTAGTGGAATTTCAAAATTTTAAAAATCGAATTTTGTTAGAGGCAAAGTTTAAAATTCGATCATCTATAAACCTTCCCTGGGGTCACGTGAGGTCCCACAAAAAATTTGGGCCCGATCGGTTAAGCCGATTTGAGGTTTATTGGATACAAACGGAAAGACACCCAAACAAACAAGCAAATAAACAGACACCCAATCAAAGTATATAGATAATTATTACTCACATAGAAATTTTATAACAATTTAATTAGTTTAAATCATTTCAAGAAAATAACTTTACCTTTTTCTGACTCCTGGAGGAAGATTTCCTTGAATATTTGTATTCTCTTGTTCCTGTGGTTTCAAAACTCTGGGGTCTAAACAGACAAAGGTAAAAATATAGTTTCTAAACAGATAAAGATAAAAATATAGTTTCTAAACAGACAAAGGTTAAAATATAGATTTCTAAACTGACAAAGGTAAAAATATAGTTTCTATACAGACAAAGTTAAAAATATAGTTTCTAAACAGACAAAGGTAAAAATATAGATTTCTAAACAGACAAAGGTAAAAATCATAGAGAATAGAATATATAGAGAGGACTTAAAAGAATCTCTCGGTATGAATTTTTTCAGTCCCTTTCAGCCTGAAAGGGAGTTCAAAGTGTACAAATCATGTAAATGTTCACAAATTATATGCNAGGTAAAAATATAGTTTCTAAACAGACAAAGGTAAAAATATAGTTACTAAACAGACAAAGGTAAAAATATAGTTTCTAAACAGACAAAGGTAAAAATATAGTTGCTAAGCAGACAAAAATAAAATATAGTTTCTATACAGACAAAGGTAAAATATAGTTTCTAGACAGAAGGAACGATATTACGATCGATCTATCTATCTATTACCTGGTTCTGTATGTCCTCCTAGAATTCGTCCTGAGGTTTGCTTTAAGGTTGGATACGGGTTTACAGTCCATACCAGAGACATTAGTCCCATCCAACCTAGATATAAGATACAGATGATTTAATACAAGATACATAATTAAATCAAGATACATGGTATATTGTTTAAGATGCCCAATTACACAATTAACGATATGACAGAAGATACACAATTGAGGATACAGAATACAGGATACATGGTTTAGGACAGAGGATACAGAATACAGGATACATGGTTCAGTACAGAGGATACAGAATACAGAATACATGGTTCAGGACAGAGAGGATACAGAATACAGGATACATGGTTCAAGACAGAGAGGATACAGAATACAGGATACATGGTTCAGTACAGAGGATACAGAATACAGAATACATGGTTCAGGACAGAGAGGATACAGAATACAGGATACATGGTTCAGGACAGAGAGGATACAGAATACAGGATAAGGTATGTTGATAAACAACCCATTAGGGGTACTATAGACTCACTCTGCATTTCATCGGAGACATCCAGATTTGCAATGAAGACCCCAACGAGTAAGGATTGGCTGCTCCGAGGGTTTTGGAATTGCTCCCTATGTTTTGGAGTGCTCCCAGGGTTTTGAAGTTGCTCCCAGGATTTTGGAGTTGCTCCCAGGGTTTTGGAGTAAAATGTGCGAGCAGCCACCCCTCTCTCGTTGGGGTCTTCATTGAAAATAATCATTTCATAAAAGGTCTGATAAATTTTCACATTTCATTCCAAAACCCTTGGAGCAGCTCCAAAATCCAAGGAGCACTCCATAAAAAAACCTGTGTCATTGGAGACCTTCAGATGTTAAAAAAATACCAAATTTCTGTGTAAACTCACAGTTTAATGAGAAAATGTGCCTTTCTGATGAAAATCTGGGGTTCTACAATTAAATTCCATGGTAGGGGG